CCAAGACCGGACTGCTGCGCCGGGCCCGCCGCGGCCAGCCGGACCCTCCATCTGACCGCAGTTGGGGCACGGAACTGATTCTGGGACCAGCCCCGCGGAGTGGCAGCCTGCCTCCAGCACCCCGTGGGGGTGGGGAGCACTAGCCCCTGGCCTGACTCGCTGCTGAGTTTCCCGAGGTTTCTGGCCCCAGCCTTTGGAACTGTGTGTGAGAGGGGGCCCTATCCACCTTCGCCGAGGAGTTCCTGCTTTATTCTCGCACCATCTCGGCTGCTTTTGCTTGGAGTCCCTCTATTTGCAGGCGCGCATCTCTCTCTCTTCTCTCTCTCTCTCTCTCTCTCTCTCTCTCTCTCTCTCTCGATATTTTCCGTTTTACTCTCATTCGGTCTTTTTCTCATTTTGCTTGCCTAAGACTGCCTCCGTCTTTGCCCAAGCTAGGGTAAATCCTGTGTGCGTTTTTCCACACTCGCAACTGAATATTTTCTTCCTTTAAAAAAAAATTCTGCCCCTGGCTCCTGCAGGGCTCTCTAGCACTACACCCTTATCCCGCCGCCAACCCCTACCACTGGACCACTCCCAGCGGAGTTTTAATTTTCGGTCTTGCCCGGGGCCGAGCCTGGCCTAGGCGGGTGGCTCAGCTGGGCTCGCACTCAGCGCTCGGCCGCCGCCGCCCAGCTGCGCGGGGGCGCCCTCCGGAGATGCTGCCGTGGAAGAAACACAAGTTCGAGCTGCTAGCCGAGGCGCCGCCAAGGCAGGCGTCCAAGCCCAAGGGCTACGCGGTGAGCCTGCACTACTCGGCTCTCAGCTCGTTGGCGCGGGCGTGCCCCGAAGGCGCGCTCAGCCGGGTGGGCAGCATGTTCCGCTCCAAGCGCAAGAAGCTGCACATCACCAGCGAGGACCCCACTTACACCGTGCTCTACCTGGGCAATGCCACCACCATCCAGGCGCGCGGCGACGGCTGCACCGACCTCGCGGTGGGCAAGATCTGGAGCAAGAGCGAGGCGGGCCGTCAGGGCACCAAGATGAAGCTGACTGTGAGTGCGCAGGGTATCCGCATGGTGCACGCCGAAGAGCGCGCGTTGCGCCGCCCGGGCCACCTCTACCTGCTGCACCGCGTTACCTACTGCGTGGCGGACGCGCGGCTGCCCAAGGTCTTCGCCTGGGTGTACCGGCACGAGCTCAAGCACAAGGCTGTAATGCTGCGCTGTCACGCGGTGCTGGTGTCCAAGCCCGAGAAGGCGCAGGCCATGGCCCTGCTGCTCTACCAAACGTCGGCCAACGCACTGGCGGAATTTAAACGGCTCAAGCGGCGGGACGACGCGCGTCACCAGCAGCAGGAGCTGGTGGGCGCGCACACCATCCCGCTGGTGCCGCTGCGCAAGCTGCTCCTGCACGGACCTTGCTGCTACAAGCCGCCGGTGGAGCGCAGCCCCAGCGCGCCCAAACTCGGCTCCATCACTGAGGACCTGGTCGGTGAACAGCAGGAGGAGGAGCTGCAGGAAGAAGAGGAAGAGGAGCACACGGAGAGCTGCCTGGAGGAGGAGGAGGAGGAAGAGGATCGTGCCAGGGAGAAGGATC